AACTAGCCGGCCGAGGTGGCGGGCGCCTGTAGTCCCAGCTACTCGGGAGGCTGAGGCAGGAGAATGGCGTAAACCCAGGAGGCGGAACTTGCAGTGAGCCAAGATCCGGCCACTGCACTCCAGCCTGGGCGACAGAGCGAGACGCCGTCTCAAAAAAAAAAAAAAAAAAAGAAATCCAGTCACAATCCCACTGTATAGCATGACTCAGATCTTCCTTCATATGCCTCCTTACCTTCCTCCCCAAAATAGCCCACTTCCAGCCACAATATCCTTATTTTTCACTAGTGGTATGGATTTGAGGGCAGGGCAGAAACTAGATAGGGTCTACAGAAGCATGTCTTCTTTGTTACCTTGTCTAGTTTATCTATGGAGGAGCAGATGGCACGGAACTTGCTTTCAGGAACACCACAGGCAGCAAACATCCCATCCACAATCCGCCGGTCATTTACCTGAGAACTCAATGTCAGTGACCCAAGTGCTTGTCATTGCCCTTCCACGCAAAACAATGACAGTACCTACTTTCCTGACATATAAAAAGGATGGAAATTTCACAGGAAGAGTACAGACATACAGGAAATACAACAGCTTTACTAGGAAAGTCCTAGAGTTGCAGGCTTAAGGGTTGGAGTCACCCAAGTTTGGGACTTGCATAAACAGTATTAGGCCAAATCCAGACTTCTCCCACAGTTCTCAGCCCTGGCCTCACCTTAATGAGAAAGTCTCCCAACTGCAATCCACTTAGGATTTCACACATGATCTTCAAACACTCTGCATCAGGGATCATAGGGTCAAACTGACCAGCAATGTCAAAATCCTACAGCAAAGAAAAAGATGGGAAAAAACTTCCATTATCCAGCCAATTTCAAGGTTGTGGCCCCTAGAACTATCAAACTGTGCTGCTTCCATCAGGTCACTTACACACTGGCAGAACTCCCTGTAGCGGCCTTGGACTATGCTTGGGCTCTCTCGCCGCCACACCTTTCCAACATGATAACGTTTCATCTTCTTCACCTTATTCATGGCCAAATAACGAGCAAAGGGAACCTCACATAAATCGGTTAAGGAAGAGGGATACTGCATCCAAAGCTTAGGCCCAGTATACAGACATTAGGGAGGACTGGGCCTTTATCAACTGGATCTCATCCACTAGGGTGAGAACAAGGACCTTCCCTTTTTTCCAGTATCCCCAAGGTCTAGCAGTGCTTGGAATTCAATATATATTGAAATCCCAAATGAAGGAATCTCACCTAGCATAACTGTAAGTTCAGCAGAAAGCAAGGGAAGTAGAGACAGAAGTGATCTAAGAACTAACTTCAGGTCTGGGCCATTTCTGCCCATTCAGATCAATTCCGAACCATCTAAAATAGTCAAGCTTCAGAACTTGGATTTGCCTAACAACTTCTAAGCTACTGTTTCTGAAAGTGCAGGGAAAGGACTACATGCATCTTAATTACCCACGATGCTTGTTTAAAATGCAGATTGTAGGCCAGATGCGGTGGCTCACACCTGTAACCCCAGCACTTTAGGAGGCCAAGGTGGGAGGATCACTTGAAACGAGGAGTTTACAATCAGCCTGGGCAACAAAGACACCCATCTCCACAAAATCTTTTTTTTTTTTTTGAGACAGAGTTTTGCTTTTGTTACTCAGGCTGGAGTGCAATGGCACAATCTCAGTTCACTGCAACCTCTGCCTCCTGGGTTCAAGTGATTCTCCTGCCTCAGCCTCCCTAGTAGCTGGGATTACAGGCGCCCACCACCACGCCTGGCTAACTTTTTAGGTCAAAAGAGATCTGTGGGGACAAGGCTATAGTCAGTCCCAAACTAGACTCAGAACCTGAGAGCCCCAGAGCTCAGCAAGACCTCAGTAGAGATGGGGTTTCACTATGTTGGCCAGGCTGGTCTTGAACTCCTGACCTCTGGTGATCCACCTGCCTTGGCCTCCTCAACTGCTGGGATTACAGGTGTTCGCCACCATGCCTGGCCAAAAAAACAATTTTAAAATACAAATTATTGAGCCCCATTCCAGCTACAGAATTAGCTAAGAATCTCTGAGACTGGAGCCAAATGTCTGTGCGTCTGCAAGCTCCCCCAAAGGATTATGATACACATTAGAGTTAAATGATAGGGCTCCGGGCTAGGCTCCTGTAGCAGAACTGCCTTCTGGGAGAAACTAGAAGTATAGGCTGCTGCCAATGGACCTCTAAGATCCCAAAGTCACTCTCTCTACTTTCGTCAGAGAAAGCCCTCTGGATTTGGAAAGAGACAGGTGAGTCTCCAGTATTCAAAAGGATACAGTAAGGTCATAGCGGAGGGACAACAGCTCTCCACCTTGATCCTTCAGATCATACATGAGCCCAGAGTCCTCTCCATACTTCTCAGTCAGTGTTTCCTATAGGGGTCAAACAGAATGAGCCACAGTTCAAAGGATGACTTCAAAACACAAATGAGAAGCCCTTTGAGACACTTAAGGCCAGTGAAGAAGTGAATGAGGTTGCATGTACTCTTTCTTCTCCCCTTACCTTCAGCTCAAATGCTGGGGTATCCATCCCCTTTGCTCCATGACGTTTAAAGCAGCTGATAACCAAATCAAGAATTTTCTCCCTCACAACCATATGCTGAGGACTAAGATCCCTGGTACCCTGGAAACCGAAAGCAGCCCCAGTGAAAACAAAAACAAAAAATAAGTCCATTTCAGACAAGGAGTTAAAGGACACTTATTATGTAATCTCAGGTCTGGAGCTGAAATCTACTGAGTTCAAATGACTGTGAGCCCCACCTAGTATCTCAAGAATAGTACATATTTTTAAAATGTAAAGGACATTAAAAGGGGTCAGAGAGACATGCAAGGCAGAGGTCAGTCCTCCAAGGCACTCTAATGGGATAGGGTAGGCAAAAGGTATTACCTTTGGGATCTTGATAATAAAATTTGGTTTCTCTTGATGTGCTTTCAGTTGGGATGTTAACACTGCCTCTGCAACCTGGCAGAAGAATGAATGTGAGAAGTGGCTCCTCTGGACACTGGCCAGACCTGTGGCATTTCTGACCCCATTGACCATCAACCTGCAAAGACTCTTCACCCTGAGCAACAGGAAGCCAAAGCACCATTTCATCTATCCCAATCTCAGTCCCACCCCAAAGAACCCATGTTGTATCTACAATTACACGTGTAATATATATGAGGTCCGGTCTTCACCACACAAGATTCCTCATTGTATATGGATTTTTTTTTGTTTTGTTTTTTGAGACAGAGTCTCAGTCTGTTGCCCAGGCTGGAATGCAGTGGCACGATCTCGGCTCACTGCAACCTCCACATCCCGGTTCAAGCAATTCTCCTGCCTTAGCCTCCCGAGTAGCTGGGACTACAGGCGTGCCACCGCCACGCCCAGCTAACTCCTGTACTTTTAGTAGAGATGGGGTTTCACCATGTTGGCCAGGCTGATCTTGAACTCCTGACCTCGTGATCCACCCACCTCGGCCTCCCAAAGTGCTGGGATTACAGACATGAGACACTGCGCTCAGCCGGATTTTTAATATTCTCAAATACTTTAAGAATCTGAGAATAATGAAGGCACTGAACAACCCACTACTACCACCACCAACCATTCAGGGGTAGGGATTGTGATGATCTTCTCCAGGTCACGGTTCCTACTGAAACAGCAAAAATAATTTTTTTTTTTCCAGATGGAGTCTTGCTCTGTCGCTCAGGCTGGAGTGCAGTGGCACGATCTCAACTCCTGCAACCTCTGCCTCCCGCGTTCAAGCGATTCTGTCTCAGCCTCCCGAGTACCTCGGATTACAGGCGTATGCCACCATGCCCGGATAATTTTTGTATTTTTAGTAGAGATGGGGTTTCGCCCCTGGCCAGGCTGATCTTGAACTCCTGACCTCGTGATCCACCCACCTCGGCCTCCCGAAGTGATGGGATTACATGCATGAGCCACTGCACCCGGCCAAAAAAATAAGAATTTTTAATAAGGTAACACTAGTTATCAGGTTTAGAAATAGGAAAACTAACTTGAAGACAGGGGAACCAGCTCAAGGACACAGAACAAGCCTGTGGAATGAAAAGATACGGATTTCTTGAATGAACTAAAAAACTCAGACTGGTAAGATACTGTGATTGAATATTAATAAAAGACCTGAGCCGTATTGTTCACAATAGCGCAAAGCATCTGCTAAGAGGGCATCAGAATCTTTCCGAAGTAAGGCAAAACTTAATCAGTGGCATTACCAGCAAGCTGTATGCCCTTCCAAAAATAGAGGATGTGGTGGTTCCATACTATGGCGATTATCTGTCCCAAGGGAAGTCCAAGTTCAAGTCCACAATCCCTTATGTGCAATTCCAAAATCCCAAACTCTCTGACATCTGAAAATGTTTTTCTGAGATTCATTTTGAGGTAAATTCTAAGGCGAACTCAGTCTACTTCTGATCTTTAGTCATCTCATTTATTAGGAATATTCATACCTTTTGCTTAAAAATATTACCGTTTGAGTCCAAGAATTTCAGGAAAAATGTGGATATGAATTAAAATACTCCCTTACTACATATCCATGTATAACTCATTCATTTAATCTTGCAGCCTCCGTTTCCTCAACTGCAGAATGGAAATAAAAACTCCAACCTCTCAAGATTGCTCCAAGGATTAAATGACCAGGCATCCAAATCGCTTAGTTCAGTGTCAGTACATAGTGGGCACTCGATAAAAACCGATTGTAACACTACTGGAATACACGCTGCGAGTCTAGCTTTCAGATCTGGAGGCCCTGCTGGGACAGACCAGAGTTAATTACGTCTCGCTCACCTGGCTTTGGCAACGGACCGCCCCGGTGCAAGAAGCGCAGGGCGGTCGCAGGAGCTGGCTGAGCAGCGCAGCCCAGGCCCTCCTGGGAAGAAGTCCGAGCAGGGGCATCGCGCGGCAGGACGCCAGCTTTCAGGGACAGGAACAAAAGGCCTGGGAAGGAGGCGGGTCGGACTCCAGGAAGGGTGGAGGGCACGCGAAGGCTGAACCCGGGGACCACGCAAAACTCGGGCGTTTGCGCACCTCACCAGTCACGGAGGCTGAGGTGGGATCCTCCCAAGCTCCCTTAGTAGCCAGCTTCGGCACTTCCGGCAGGAGCCGGAAATAATTTTTGTGCTCGGCGGAGGCTCTCTAGGCGTGCGACCCGGCGACTCGATAGCCGGAAGTCATCCTTGCGGAGGCTGGGGCCGCCGTCGCTGGTCTAGGCAGCAGTGGGTTCAAGTGGACAGCCGGGATGGCAGAGCGTGCGGCGCTAGAGGAGCTGGTGAAACTTCAGGGAGAGCGCGTGCGAGGCCTCAAGCAGCAGAAGGCCAGCGCCGAGCTGGTAAGACTTAGGCAGCAGGGGAGGGCCAAGGCAAAGCCTGGGAGGACGTAAAGCCAGGGTGTTCGGGACATAGGATAGGGATGTGAGGGAAACGACCAGGCTTGTAGGGAGGAGAGTGGACTGCGTGGGGAGGTATCCGGGGTGGGTCCCGAGAGAAACAAAGCTAGGCCTGAGCAGAGAGATCCTGATGAGGGAGGAATATTGAATGAATGGCGGGGGAGGCAGGAGACTGACAGATGGTTAGCTCAGCGCCTTCTTTCCCTCCACAGATCGAGGAGGAGGTGGGAAAACTCCTGAAACTGAAGGCACAGCTGGGTCCTGATGAAAGCAAACAGAAGTTTGTGCTCAAAACCCCCAAGGTAATATCATTCCTGTAGGGAGCCACTGAGAAAGTCTCTAACTCTACTCACGGGGCGCTTATGTCTGCCTCCTTAAACCAGGTCATTGAGGAGGATCTGAAATACTGCAGAGGAGAGGACAGTCGCTCTGGGCGCTGGGCTGGACTGGACTCTACCTGAGTCATTCTGGGATGGCAAAGTGATGGCAGAAGCTAGGCCAGCTGGGTGATCGGGGAGTCAGCCTGCTGCTGCTACTCCTTCGTTCATTCAGTAAATGTGTATTTAGCACTGTGTCTCTAGCACTATACAAAGCACTGAATATATACCATGGTGGACAATATAGCCTCCCCTCATGGAGCTTACATTCTACTGAAGGAGAGAGACTTAGAACAAATAATCCCACACAGATTTTTTTTTTTTTTTTTTTTTAAACGGAGTATCCTGTATTGCACAGGCTGGAGTGCAGTGGCACCGCTCCGCACCGCTCTCCGGTCGATCTCCTGCCAGCCTCTAGCTACTCAGGCCCCCCCCGCCCGCTATTTGTATTTTTAGCATTTCCATTCTGACCCTGACCTCAGTGATCCGCCCTCCTCCCAAAGTGCTGGGATACAGGTGGCACCGCCCTGGAACAATTTGTGATATGACTTAAGGTTGCTCTGAGAAAAATAAGGGAGAACTGGGGAGTCTGAGAAAGGCTAACTGAGGAAGTGATATACTAACCGATCTAGTGAATGAGTAGGAGATAGCCAGAGGACAAGTGTGACAAAGATAAGTCCAGGTAGAGTATGGAAACCCTAAAGTGGGAAAGAACTTTGGTAGTTTTGAGGAACTAGAGGATGATCTACATGGCTAGAACTAAGTAAAGGAGAGTAGAGTGGAATGAGGTTGGAGATTCTGAGCTCATCCTCCAGTTCAGTTCCACTTTCTCTAAGTTCTATAAACAGAACTGTTTACCCTTTCATCTAGGTTCTCTCGGCACTTCATACATATTTCTGTTATTGCACCAACTTTAAGTAGTTATTTTTGTGGTTTATATACCCTGAGACAGACTAGGTGCCTAAATAGATATAGTCAGCCCTCCATATCCCAAGGTCCCACATTCACAGATTCAACCACCTGTGGAGATCAAAACCATTCAGGGGAAAAGAAACAATTAAGAAAAAAAATCTGGCTGAATGTGGTGGCTTACACCTGTAATCCCAGCACTTTTTTTTTTTTTTTTGAGACGGTTCACGCGTTGCCAGGCTGGAGTGCAGTGGCGCGATCTCGGCTCACTGCAAGCTCCGCCTCCCGGGTTCCCGCCATTCTCCTGCCTCAGCCTCCTACTGAGCTGAACAATGTTATATAGTCTAAGGAAAGTAGGCATAGAATCATTATACAAATTAGAGGTATGTTGCTGGAGTTTGAACAAAGCGTTGGCAAACTATATTGGTTCCGCTTCTGTATTTCAGTACAACCTTGAAAGAGCGTTTACAAAGGCAGTTATTTATTGCTCAGGTGACCATTTATGGCTATCTGCTAAACACCTTTGACCTGGCTTCTTACTAACATTCCTTGACTGGCTCAGAAAGAGAAACATGTTTACAGACTTACAACGCCCGCCACCGCGCCCGGCTAATTTTTTGTATTTTTAGTAGAGACGGGGTTTCACTGTGGTCTCGATCTCCTGACCTTGTGATCCGCCCGCCTCGGCCTCCCAAAGTGCTGGGATTACAGGCTTGAGCCACCGCGCCCGGCCAATCCCAGCACTTTGAGAGGCCACAAGGGGAGGATCATTTGAGCCCAGGAGTTTGAGACCAGCCTGAGCAACATAGTGAGTCCCTATCTCTACAAAAAAAAAAAAAAAAAAAAAAAAAAAACCTTTTAAAATCTAACAATAAAAATTTCAAATAAAAAAATATAGTATAACAACTATTTACACAGCCTTTACATTGTCTAAGGTATTATAAATACTCTAGAGACTATTTAAAGTGTATAGGAGGATGTGCATATATTTTTATATCAAGGGCTTGAGCATCCATGGATTTTTGGTATCCACACGGGGCCTAGAACAAATCTCCTGCGGATACTGAGGGATGACTCTATTTAATAAATGTATTTGAAATTGAATTCCAAAGGAGAGGGGAGATGTCTGTTTTCCTTGTGTTAAGGTTAATTCTTTGGGCTCCTAAATTCATTGAGCTGTTTCTTTCTACATATAACTCATATTCGGAGGTTAAAGAGACAGTGTAAAATCCCAAAGTGGTGATGATCAGTGATTATTCAAACTATTAGATGAAAAGCTTACTGTGGAATTTATGATGGATCAGTCTGTCCTCACCAGTGATGAGTTTTAACATCACTAAAGTAGGACAACTAGACATGTTCCTGCTGATGTGATGCAACAAGAAGTACACAGCACCACCTGTGAAGTACTCTTGCCAAGTAAATTGAATTTGAATCTAATCAGATCTTTGGACTAACTATCAGTTTACAGGAAATACTAGAGATGGAGGAACATGTTAAATGACACATTAAGCATATTGTTTACCAAATCTAGAATGTGAAAAAATTTTTTAGGACAAATGAACCAATTTTCCTAGTTAATAAATGACCTTTTTAAAATAAAAAAAAAAGTGGGGGAGGGAAGGAAACTATTGTAGATTAAATAGACATATCAGCTGATTACAACGCATAGACTTCATTTTGAAGTTGATTCAAATAAATAAACCATAAAAAGATATTATCGAGGCAACAGGGAAAAACTGACCATGGCTTAGCATTAGATAATATTAAGGAGTTGCTGTTAGTTTTGTTAGTTATAATAAAGATAGAGTCTTTGGGGTTTTTTAAATGTCCTTATGTGTTAGAGATTCATATTGAAGTATTTATGGATGAAATGATATGACGTCTGGGATTTATTTCAAAATATTTAAGAAAAACATGTAAGGGCTTAAATAAGAATAGCAGATATTAATGGTTGTTGGAGCTGGGTAATGGATAAATGGTGACCTGTAATACTATTCTCTATATTGTGTCTTTGAAATTTTCCATATTATAGCATTAAAATAAGATTATGCTAGAGAGTTAATACCCATTTTAGTATTAACAATAGAAAACTCAGTATTGTGAGACAAGACTCTTTCAAGGGATCTTCATGGTCAAAACTATTTCTATAGTAATTCATTTGTTTTGTTTGAGACGGAGTCTTGCTGTGTTGCCCAGGCTGGAGTGCAGTGGCGTGATCCTAGCTCACTGCAACCTCCGCCTCCTGGGTTCAAGCGATTGTCCTGCCTCAGCCTTCCGAGTAGCTGGGACTACAGGCATGTGCCACTGCACCCAGCTAACTTTTGTATTTTTAGTAGAGACGGGGTTTCACCGTGTTGGCCGTGCTGGTCTTGAACTCCTGGCCTCAAGTGATCCACCCACCTTGGCCTCCTAAAGTGCTGGGATTACAGGCATGAACCACTGTGCCTAGCCCTTCTATAATAATTCTAAGATGTTATCTGCCTTTTCTATTGTGTTAACATTTGCACCAAAGGCACAAAAGCACTGATGAGTAGAACTGCTGGTGCCTTAGCATAAATTAAGACAGTGACACTAAACTGTACTAATAGCCAGTATGTTCTTCACTGCCATGCACTCACAGCAAGTAAATAAATAAATAAAGTTTAGTTTTACTTAACAATGTCATTGATAAAATGGTAAAACTTTGTTCATTTGTTTGTTTTGGGGTTTTTTGTAGACAGAATCTCACTCTGTTGCCCAGGCTGGAGTTCAGTGTCACGATCTTGGCCCACTGCAGCCTCCACTTCCCGGGTTCAAGCAATTCTTGTGCCTCAGCCTCCTGAGTATCTGGGATTACAGGCGGGTACCACCACACCCAGCTAATTTCTTGTATTTTACAAAAAACACAAGAAATCTACAACATGTTTCACCATGTTGCCCAGGCTGGTTTTGAACTCTTGAACTCAGGCAATCTGTCCACCTTGGCCTCCCAAAGTGCTAGGCGTGAGCCACCATGCCTGGCCAAAAAACTTACTAATTTTATTGAATCTTGACCCTTGAGGGCCAAGATTTTTAAATATTTGCTATGACAAAATGGGAAGCACATATAAAGCACTTCTGCACCCCAAGGTAGGGAAAATGCTTATGCCATTGTTCAAGTTGCAAGCTGATCTAGCTACTTTTTTTCATAGAACATCTTGTTTTATTTGAATTAACAACTGAAAGATAAATTATGGTTTTTCAAATTTAAATATTTGGCAGACATTTTTACAACAATGAACGAAGTGAGCCTTGTCACCTCAAGGAAGACATCTGACAGTGCCTGTAGGCAGTGATAAAATTCAAATATTCAGGTGAAAGTTAGAATTTTAGAAAACTTGGGCTGGTGGTGACTCATGCCTATAATCCCAATGCTCTGGGAGGCCAAGGCGGGCGGATCACCTGAGGTTGGGAGTTTGAGACCAGCCTGACCAACACAGAGAAACGCCATCTCTACTAAAAATTAGCCGGGCGTGGTGGCGCGTGCCTGTAATGCCAGCTACTAGGGAGGCTGAGGTACAAGAATCGCTTGAACCCGAGAAGTGGAGGTTGCCGTGAGCCGAGATCGTGCCATTGCACTCCAGCCTAGGCAACAAGAAACTCCATCTCAAAAAAAAAGAATTTTAGAAAACTTGTATCTTCCATCATAAGCTTGACAGCTTCCCAATAATTAAAGAGTTTTCTGCTGGGTGTGGTGGCTTACGCCTGTTATCCCAGCACTTTGGGAGACCAAGGTGGGCAGATCACTGAGGTCAGGAGTTTCAGACCAGCCTAGCCAACATGGTGAAACCCCGTCTCTACTAAAAATACAGAAATTAGCCAGGTATGGTAGCGCATGTCTGTAATCCCAGCTCCCTGGGAGGCTGAGGCAGAAGAATCGTTTGAACCTGGGAGGTGGAGGTTGCAGTGAGCCGAGAACATGCCACTGTACTCCAGTCTGGGTGACAGAGCGAGACTCTGTGTCAAAAACAAACAAAAAACCAGGCTGGGCAAGGTGGCTTACGCCTATAATCCCAGCACTTTGGGAAGCTGAGGCAAGCGGATCATGAGGTCACGAGATCGAGACCATCCTGGCTAACATGGTGAAACTCCATCTGTACTAAATATACAAAAAATTAACCAGGCATGGTGGCACACACCTGTATGTAGTCCCAGCTACTCAGGAGGCTGAGGCTGAGGCAGGAGAATCATTTGAACCCGGGAGGCAGAGGTTGCAGTGAGCCAAGATCGCGCCACTGCACTCTAGCCTGGGTGACAGAGCGAGACTCCATCTCAAAAAAAAAAAAAAAAAAAAAAGACTTTCTTGATGAGATCTGAGGTGATGTAAATAAATAAGGCTTCCTGATATTGTATAATGAAATGTATCAACATTTGAAAGACCTGTTATAAAGTTTCACAGGGTTCGCCAGGATGGTCTTGATCTCCTGACCTTGTGATCTGCCCACCTCGGCCTCCCAAAGTGCTGGGATTACAGGCGTGAGCCACCATGCCCGACTGGTTGGTTTTTTTTTTGTTTTTTGTTTTTTTGTTTTGAGATGGAGTCTTGCTCTGTCGCTCAGTCTGGAGTGCAGTGGCGCAATCTCAGCTCACTGTAACCTCCGCCTCCCAGGTTCAAGTAATTCTCCCTGCCTTCAGCCTCCCGAGTAGCTGGGATTACAGGCACCCGCCACCACTATTTGTTTGTTTTTTTTGAGACAGAGTCTCACTCTGTTGCCCAGGCTGGAGTGCAATGGCACGATCTCGGCTCACTGCAACCACCTCCACCTCCCAGGTTCAAGGATTCTCGTGCATCAGCCTCCCAAGTAGCTGGGACTACAAGGGGCGAGGCGTCACACCCGGCTAATTTCTGTATTGTTTAGTAGAGATGGGGTTTCACCATGTTGGCCAGGCTGGTCTCGAACCCCTGACCTCAGGCAATCCATCTGCCTCGGCCTCCCAAAGTGCTGGAATTACAGGCATGAGCCACTGTGCCCAGCCTCAGGTTGGTGTTTGTTCTTAGGCCAGGAAATGTTCTGTTATCCCAGAAAGAGTTTTTAGGAAAATGACTTAAAGAAAAGAGTTCTAAGAATTTTAGAAAATAGACCCCAAGCTTAAAAGGGAATGGAGTTTGTAAGGCAGATAGCAAATGGTGTGGGAATTAATAGGGAATTATTTGTACTTGTTTTAAAACTCAGTGGCCTGTAGGAAAATCTGTTTAGAGCAGGATTTGCTTTTTCATTATTGAAGTCATCCTTTTATATTTTCAAAATGTATTGTTCTTGGTTTTCAAACCTCATTTCTGGTTCTCTGGCTGATTTCAACTCCAAGGGCACAAGAGACTATAGTCCCCGGCAGATGGCTGTTCGTGAGAAGGTGTTTGACGTAATCATCCGTTGCTTCAAGCGCCATGGTGCAGAAGTCATTGATACACCTGTATTTGAACTAAAGGTGAGGAAAGGGCAAGAAGAAACTACAATTGTAGATGAGTGGGCATTTGAATAACAAAGAAGATGACAACAAGAGAGTGAGGGTCCAAAGGGCCCACTCCTGTTGTGGACACAGACCAGTCTTCTCCAATAACAAGCGGGACAAGAATGGCTTGGAGGGAGAGGCCCTGTCTTTTATTATGTTGGTTGTGGCCAGCAGCTTCCAAAAGAGAGCCATTCTTTGGAGTGGTCTGGGTCCTGTCTACATTGTATTGCAGGGCGTTTGTACTTGGGATGTTTTCTAGATTCGTCCAAACCATACATACATAAATATGCAACCACTCTCCTATTGATGGACTCTGAGGTTGTTACTAGTTCTTTGCTATTAAAAACCAGATTGCAACTGGGCACACCTGTAGTTCCAGCTTTTCAGGAGGCTGAAGCAGAAAGATCACTGGATCCCAGGAGTTCAAGGCTGTAGTGTGCTATGGTGGTGCCTGTGAATAGCCACCATACTCCAGTCTGGGCAATGTAGCAAGACCCTGTCTCTAAAACCAACCAACCAACCAAGATTGCATTACTACCTGCTTCAAACCCAGTGATTCCCACTGCACTTATAGTACAACCCAAACTCTTTACTCAGGTTTACAGAGCCCTAGGTGATCTGGCCACTGCCTCTCCTACCTCATCTCATGCTAATGCTATTTTTCCTCTTGCGCACTATGCTACTCTGGTCTTCTTCCAACTCTTGGAACATAGTCAGTGTGTTTGTACCTCTGGACCTTTGTTCTTGCTCTTCCCTTTTCCTGAACTCCCTTTCCTTAGCTCTTTGCATGATTTATTTCAGATTATACTAGAGACTGCAGATTTTAATTCCTTTTTTCAAAAAACATAAATACAAATAGAGACAGAGGTCTTGCTATGTTGCCCGGGCTGCTTGCAAACCCCTGGCCTCAAGTGGTCCTCCTTCCTCAGCCTCCCAAAGTGCTGACATTACAGGCATGAGCCACCATGTCCAGCCAGCCAGATTTTAATTTCAGAGCTCAGCTAAAATGCCACTCCTCAAGTAGTCTTCTCCAACCACCTATTTAAAGTAGCTGTTCTCCCTCTATCACAATGAGCTGGTTTATTGCCTTTAGTCTATAAACCTGTCTGAAATTATCTGTTGTTTCCTTCATCAATGTAGTACCTGTCTCTTTTTATTGATATATAATTGTACATATTTATGAGACTGTTTTTACCTATTGTATTAGTTTGCTAGGGCTACCACAACAAAGTACCATAGACTGGGTAGCCTAAACAACAGAAATGTATTTTCTCACAGTTCCAGAGGTTGGACGTTGACATAACATGCTGGCAGGCCTAGTTCTTTCAGAGGCCCATAAAGGAAGGATCTGTTCCAGGCCTCTCTTCATGGCTTGTAGATGGCCATCGTCTCCCTTTGTCTTTTTCTTTTTTTTTTTTTAAATTGAGACAGAGTCTCGCTCTGTTGCCTGGGCTGGAGTGCAGTGGCACGACCTTATCTCACTGCAGCCTGCACCTCCCAGGTTCAAGCGATTCTCCTGCCTCAGTCTCCTAAGTAGCTGGGATTACACGCGTGCGCCACCACGCCTGGCTAATTTTTCTATTTTTAGTAGAGACGGGGTTTCACCATGTTGGCCAGGCTGGTCTTGAACTCCTGGCCTCAAGTGATTCACCCACCCTAACCTCCCAAAGTGTTGGAATTACAGGCATAAGCCACCGCGCCCAGCCTCCCTTTGTCTTTACATCGTCTTTCCTCTGTCCCTGTCTAAATTTTATCTTCTTACAACAACATATTAGATTAGAGCCCAACTTGGAGACCTCGTGTTAGCTTAATCATCTCTTTAAAGATCCTATCACCAAATGTAGTCATGTTCAGAGGTTACTGGGATTTAGGACTTAAACAAATGAATTGGGGAGGGTCGGGCAGGGGGATACAGTTCAGCCCATAACACTAGTGTGTGACTGTTTCTGATACTACGTACTGGGAAGTTTCAGGCTTTTTAATCTTTGCCAACCTGGTGAGCAAAATATGCTATTACCAATTATAGACATCACAGGGCAAGGACTGCTGTAATGCCCTTAAGACGTTCCTCAGTTTTTACTTTTGACATTATTCGAATCTCAGGCATCATAAAAACATTTATGTTTGTTGGTCTGATAACCCATTCCTAGTAGTTTATCATCAAGAAAAACACTTTTTTTAAAAAAAGAGCTATATACCTAAATATTATATATTGAAATGTTATGGGGCTTTTTTTTTTTTTTTTTTGAGATGGAGTTTCATTCTTGTCACCCAGGCTGCAGTGCAATGGTGCAATCTCTGCTCACTGCATCCTCTGCCTCCCAGGTTCAAGTGATTCTCCTGCCTAAGCCTCCAAATAGCTGGGATTACAGATGCCCACCACCTCCCCCAGCTCATTGTTGTGTTTTTAGTAGAGACAGGGTTTCACCATGTTGGCCAAGCTGGTCACGAACTCCTGACCTCAGGTGATCCATCCGCCTCCGCCTCCCAAAGTGCTGGGATTACAGGTGTGAGCCACCATGCCTGGCCTAAAACATTTTTTTCTAAAATTAGAATAACCTAAACATCTAACAGTATAACATTAGGGAGGAAGTAAGTACAGAGCTTCTTCTCACTGGAATTTATGCATCTTTTAAAAATACTTCAGGCCGGGCGCTGTGGTTCACGCCTGTAATCCCAGCACTTTGGGATGCTGAGGCGGGCAGATCACGAGGTCAAGAGATCGAGACCATCCTGGCCAACATAGTGAAACCTTGTCTCTACTAAAAATACAAAACTTAGCTGGGCATGGTGGCACCTGCCCGTAGTCTCAGCCACTCGGGAGGCTGAGGCAGGAGAATCGCTTGAACCCGGGATGCAGAGGTTGCAGTGAGCCGAGATCACGCCACTGCACTCCAGCCTGGCGACAGAGTGAGACACCATCTCAAAAAAAAAAAAAAAAAAAATCATGCTGAGAAGTTGAGTCTGAAGAAAAAAAGATTTTTAAGAGAAAAATATGTAACAAAAATTCTACAGCTCTGTTACAAAATCAAAATACAAAAAACACAAAATTGATGTTTCCTTTCAATGATAACTACATCAGACACCTAAGAATTGGGATAAAGAGCAGAGGGAAATGTAGACAAGTTGGAATCAGTCATGTTTGTTTTTAAAATTTCCTTTTAAATTGTTATATTTATTACTATGACCACATTTATTTATGTTTTCTCTAGGAAACACTGATGGGAAAGTATGGGGAAGATTCCAAGCTTATCTATGACCTGAAGGACCAGGGCGGGGAGCTCCTGTCCCTTCGCTATGACCTCACTGTATCTTTCTAAACTTGGGCACTTGAGACTTTGGATGGATTGGCACTCACTTGGCTCAGGTTTAAGAATGGTAGGGTAGGTAGGATCAAATATGAGGCCTCTGGCGATTAGGGGAATTATTTCTCTAAACCAGGAGTGGGACTTTGGCTAAACAGAGCATACACACCCTTAGAAATCTTCTGAATCCTGAGTGAGACCTCAGCTTGATGTCAGGGCCCAGTTCCAACTCTACAGTCATCCCCTGGCTCCAGAATACCTCTCGCGTGCCCTGTCCAGTGGACAAAATTCGCCTTAATGGACCAGCAACACATTTCCCTTGTCTCCAAGCTACACAGAGAATCATCTGCTTAGAAATCCCATATGGGGGCCTTTTTCTGGTCTGTGGCCAACCTGCCCAGCCCCTTGCCATGCTCAGAAAAGTCCAGTCGGCCGGGCGCGGTGGCTCAAGCCTGTAATCCCAGCACTTTGGGAGGCCGAGACGGGCGGATCACGAGGTCAGGAGATCGAGACCATCCTGGCTAACACGGTGAAACCCCGTCTCTACTAAAAATACAAAAAAAAACTAGCCGGGCGAGGTGGCGGGCGCCTGTAGTCCCAGCTACTCGGGAGGCTGAGGCAGGAGAATGGCGTGAACCCGGGAGGCGGAGCTTGCAGTGAGCTGAGATCGGGCCACTGCACTCCAGCCTGGGCGACAGAGCAAGACTCCGTCTCAAAAAAAAAAAAAAAAAAAAAAGAAAAGTCCAGTCAACACTACAAAAGAGAAAGGTGCCTTAATCTTTTTTGAGCCTTCAGCTGCCTCATGTGGTAGCACAGCTGGTGCTTTCTGATGTTTGTAAGTGCTATTAATCTTATGGGTGGCAGTTTTACCCACATAGGGAGGGGTTAGACCCCAACTTCTGTTGGTGATGATAATCAACTTGCAGACAGTGATAGGAGGGGCTTTCTCCTTAACTCTTTGTCATCAGGTTCCTTTTGCTCGGTATTTGGCAATGAATAAACTGACCAACATTAAACGCTACCACATAGCAAAGGTATATCGGCGGGATAACCCAGCCATGACCCGCGGCCGATACCGGGAATTCTACCAGTGTGTGAGTGTCGGGAAACCGTGGGGCAGGATGGGTTACTTGGGGCTTTCTCAAGCCAGCAGAATCTATTGAGTACTCAACAGTGTCCTGAGCAAATTGGATGACCCAGATAATGCTCTTAGGTTTCTATGGTGTTTTTTTTGTTTGTTTTTTGTTTTTTTGAGGAGTCTCGCTCTGTTGCCCAAGCTGGAGTGCAGTGGTGCAGTCTCGGCTCACTGTAACCTCTGCCTCCTGGGTTCAAATGATTCTCCTGCCTCAGCCTCCTGAGTAGCTGGGATTACAGGCACCTGCCACCACGCCCAGTTAATTTTTTGTATTTTGAGTAGAGACAGGGTTTCACCATGTTGGCCAGGCTGGTCTCAAACTCCTGATCTCGTGATCCGCCTGCCTCGGCCTCCCAAAGTGCAGGTGGTGTTAGCCACCGTGCCCAGCCTCTTCTATGGTGTTTTCATGCAGATTTAACAATGTCCCTGTGGTGGAGGAGGAGAATAAAGTCTCTCCATTTTACATATGAGTCAACTTGATACCCGCAGATGAAGAGATCATAGGGGTAAGAAAGGCAAAGTCAGGACTAGAACTCTTGGTCCAGTGCTCTTTATTTTAAACCACAGTGATAGGATCACAGCAGAGAATAAGGAAATTAGCTTTGATACATCAAATCATCCAGACTGATGCCAGGGCTTCTGGATGAATAGGGAAAATGGCTAAGCACTAAAGCCATATAATCACCCCACCCAGTAGGAGGAGTTAAGATGATGAAGTAGAAAATGAAGGAATAGCCCAGTAGATAGAAAGGAAACCAAAACTGGTGAGAAGCCCAAGGATGCTGGGGTTTACCTCTGGGCTGATGATAAGAAAATGAAAGAGAAAGTCTATGCTTGAGTGCAACCAGGCCTTCCTAGAGGACAGAGCTCCCAGAGTCCCCCCTTCAGAAAGGTGAATCCCTGAAGACCTCTGGCTAACCCTCTCCCTGCAGGATTTTGACATTGCTGGGAACTTTGATCCCATGATCCCTGATGCAGAGTGCCTGAAGATCATGTGCGAGATCCTGAGTTCACTTCAGATAGGCGACTTCCTGGTCAAGGTCAGTGCTGACAAGGCTGGGAGGGCAAAGTTGGGCCTGGCCTCTCACAAGATCCTTGTGCAGAGGGACCAGTAGCCCAAGTGACCATGACTATCGCAGGTCATGTAAGAAAAGAGATTCCCTCCGCACTATGCATTGATTCCTTGCAGGTAAATGATCGACGTATTCTAGATGGGATGTTTGCCATCTGTGGTGTTTCTGACAGCAAGTTCCGTACCATCTGCTCCTCAGTAGACAAGCTGGACAAGGTAACAACCCAAGTACTTGACTTCTTTTCCCAGATCCCACCCTGCCTTGGGAAATGGAAAACAAGATTGAGAGAGAGAGGTGCATGCCTTTATACCCACCAGAGGAAGGTTAGCCCTAGGATGTAGGCTCATGGGCAGCTACTGCTCCAAGACTGTTCCCTGAGGACAGTACATACCTGCTCTGTGGTGCAGAAGCTGCCCAGAGGTCCCTGACTGGTGTCTGTCTGCCTAGGTGTCCTGGGAAGAGGTGAAGAATGAGATGGTGGGAGAGAAGGGCCTTGCACCCGAGGTGGCTGACCGCATTGGGGACTATGTCCAGCAGCATGGTGAGGAACAGAACCAAGCCTCCTCAGCAGCCATCCAACTGCCCTCAGTCCTAAAGTTGAAACTGTTCTGTGTATGTACATAGGAGAGTGAGTGTGTGTATGTATATGTACACACACATGTATGGGCAACTAGAGTCCAGGCAAGAAGATCAACCCCCGCTTACCTTTTTTGTTTGCTTGTCAGCCTCACTCACAAGTCTGTCTCCCCAGGTGGGGTATCCCTAGTGGAACAGCTGCTCCAGGATCCTAAACTATCCCAAAACAAGCAGGCCTTGGAGGGCCTGGGAGACCTGAAACTGCTCTTTGAGTATCTGACCCTATTTGGCATTGATGACAAAGTGAGTCAAGTTGGGGATGGGATCCCTTCTGAGCTCTGGGGCTTCAGATCCCTCATCTTAATCTGGCACTGACCATGTTCTTATCTCCACAGATCTCCTTTGACCTTAGCCTTGCTCGAGGGCTGGATTACTACACTGGGGTGATCTATGAGGCAGTGCTGCTACAGACCCCAGCCCAGGCAGGGGAAGAGCCCCTGGGTGTGGGCAGTGTGGCTGCTGGAGGGCGCTATGATGGGCTAGTGGGCATGTTCGACCCCAAAGGGCGCAAGGTGCCATGTGTGGGGCTCAGCATTGGGGTGGAGCGGATTTTCTCCATCGTGGAACAGAGACTAGAGGTAGGTCCTACGGGGTGGGTAGAAGACAGTCTGAGCAGGTGGTGGCACCTAAGCTATCTGATCTCCAAGGGAGTGAGTGGTGCTGCTTTGGGTAGGGAACATCTCACAGAAATGGAGAAAAGATTATTGCTCTTTTTCACAGATTTCTACCCCATTATAGGTCAGTTTTATGGATCTTTAATCCATCTTTCTCCACTAAATCCTCTGCTCTGGGTCTCTGCTTCCTTCAGGGCTGTCACAAACATGGGCTGCTGTATCCAAGACTTAGATCTTCCTCATGATACAGAATACTTAACATTTTAGTGCCTTGTGCCAGGCACTGTGCTTGGTGCTTTTCATGCATTATCAAAATATAATTCTTACCACAGCCTTGTGAGAGTAGCTAATTTTATTAATTGCATTTTCCAGATGAGAAAACTGAAGCATTATAGATCAAATAATTTGCTTAAGGCCATGAAACTTGTAAGTGGTAGAGTCAGAATTTGAATCCACGCGGTCTGACTCCAAAGTCTTGCCACTAACCACATTGCAATATTGTCTCTAAATGGGAAGCATGTGTCTGACGCCCTGGGATCCCTCACATGGCTACCGTGACTCTCTAACACCTAGAGTAACACCAAGGAAGCCTCTCGTGGCCTCAAGCCCTCCTTTGTTGCTGCTGGTCTTAAGTGGCTGGTTGCATTTCATCCTCTGGGAAATGCTCTGGCAACCTCCCCACGGTCTATGCCTTTTCTCTAGGGTGGAAACCACCCGTTTCCCAGTTGAGATCATTCTTCCAGTAGGCATCTTACATTGTAAGAACTATGAAAATAGTTTTCCTGAAAAAGACAAGGGAAGCAGCAGCAGCATTCTCCTTTCCCCATACCCATATACACGCCTGTGCCCTGTAACTGAAGTGCGAGAGGCACAGTGTCATAAATGGGTAGATAGTAAGTGGGGACTAAAACTGCCAAGGGTGATCTAGTTGGGGTAGGCTCATAGTAGTACTTCTGTGTGAATGCTTTGATGGACCCTTAAGGTACTACATGGACCAGTCTGGGCAACATGGTGAGATCCTATCTCTACAGATTAAAAAAAAAAGCTGCAGTGATCATGCCACTGCACTTCAGCCTGGGTGACAGAGACCCTGTCTCAAAAAAAAAAAAAAAAGTACTACATGGAGATAAGCTTGAAGTTACTGTAAAAAAGCTACCTTTACTCTTACCCTAAGTTAGTTATTCTGACACATCCTATGTACAAGTTAGTTCAGTCCTCATATCTACTAAAAGCTACCTTATGCCTAAGGTGCTAGATGAGAAGACAGGGCCCCTGCCCTAGAGCTGAGTTGGGCCTGGTCTCAAGATCCTGACTAGAGCCTGCTTTGTTTGCTCCTTGAAGGTGTTAGCCCAGCTCTCTGACTCTTATCTGCCCCTTCCCCAGGCTTTGGAGGAGAAAGTACGGACCACGGAGACACAGGTACTTGTGGCATCTGCACAGAAGAAGCTGCTAGAAGAAAGACTAAAGCTTGTCTCAGAACTGTGGGATGCTGGGATCAAGGTATGGGAGGCAAGCCCCAGGGTGGCAGCAAACTTGGGTGTGCTGGGCACAAACTGAATAAAAGCTCACCCATAATGGATCCTGCCATTACTTCTCAAAAGTGGAGCTAAGAACAAGGTGCCAGCTTGCACACCCTCTGTCCCTGAGGACAGCAGAAGCCAGCCTTCCTCTTCTGCTCTTGTCCCCTGCAGGCTGAGCTGCTGTACAAGAAGAACCCAAAGCTTTTGAACCAGTTGCAGTACTGTGAGGAGGCAGGCATCCCACTGGTGGCTATCATTGGCGAGCAGGAACTCAAGGATGGGGTCATCAAGCTCCGTTCAGTGACTAGCAGAGAAGAGGTAAGGGAAGCGGGCAGGAAGGCTAAGGGACAGAGAATGTATGCCATTTTGGCAGGCCCATGCCCATTCAAGACCTGAGAAAAAGCCTGGCATTGATATTAATACAACCATAAAAGACTTGAGAGCTTAACCTGTTACTGTAGTCTTAGTAGGGTGAGATCTCCGTCCCTGCATATACCCTATGTTTTGTTGGCTCCCCCAAGAGGCACACTCTAGCCTGAGGTGTTTAATTAGGTTCCTGCTCCCAGCTGAGACTGATGCCTAGAGGGCTAGAGGAAACTAGGCACTCGGGCAGCAGTGGAATGGAAGATGCTTATACCACCTTCTTCTCCCATCCTGGCCAGGTGAATGTCCGAAGAGAAGACCTTGTGGAGGAAATCAAAAGGAGAACAGGCCAGCCCCTCCGCATCTGCTGAACTGAGCAATCTATCAGAGGAAAGGAAGTGGGACTGGTACTATTTGAGGTTAAGACAAACTGCATATGTACTTCAACTGCTTTGCACTTTTCCGTTTCAGCAGGAAGACCTGAAGACTGGTCAGAACAGAGACTTTAATTTTTATTATGGTTATTTTATTGATTATTACTGGCAAAAATGGCCAGATACTACACCTTTTTCATACAAGGCCCTGGGGGCTTAGTCCAGTCTGTGCTCCTGGGCTACAAGGACCCAGCCTGAGATGGTCTCATCTACAGGGCCTCGCACCAGTTGGAGCAGATGCCTCCCTATCAATTGCCAAAGGTCCAATAAAATGCCTCAACCTCAACCAGAGCCTGCGTGTCACTGATGCCTAGCCCCACCTTCCCGGGCAGACCAATGTAGGGATGGAAAAGGGAGAAAGACAGTAACCTTGTGACCCAGAGGTTCTTGTCTCCAGCGTCCACCCTGCGGCTTGGGAGCTCCTCCTCCTCACCCACTAATTTGCAGCTTTCACCTGAGGGTCTGAGCGAAGCCCGGGCGGCGCACGTGCAGTGGATACCTCCACCCCCTTGGGAGGCGGGGTCGCGCTCAGAGCCAATGAGAGCTTGCGGGGTGGAGGGGTAGGGAAGCTTCCAGAGGCTGGTGGGGAGGAAGTTATAAAGAGGGTAGGAGGGGGCCAGCGGGAGGGCCATGCAGTCCAAGCGGGATTGTGAGGTAAGCGGCTGGCGACTTGGGGGCCGGCGCCGGAGCGGGGGTCGGCTTTAGTGACCCCAGTACCCACAGAAGAGGTGGGGGGCGGACTTGGCGATCCGCCATTCCAACCTTCCTTTCCCTCTCAGCTGTGGTGTGAGAGGGTGAATCCAGAGAACAAGGCGGCGCTGGAGGCGTGGGTCAGGGAGACAGGCATCCGCCTGGTGCAGGTGAACGGGCAGAGGAAGTATGGCGGGCCACCCCCAGGTACGGTAGTCCCAGCCCCTCTGCCTGTCCGGCTACACCAACCCCCTTTGGGGGAGGGGCTGCCCCAGCCTTCACTGTCAGGAACTGCAAACTACCCGGATTTATATCCCCCAGCAAAGGAGGAACTGTGGCTCCACGCCCACCCGCCCCGTCGAGGGAGGGGGCCAATCTCAAGGTGTACCTACTCTGCGCCAGCCCCTTCGTTAGCGCAGTCACCTAATTATGCCAACCACCCAGGGTACGGGTGTAAGCCCATTTCACAAACCTTGGTTCACATCGCTTCCCACCCTCGCGCGCTGGGTCCGTGGGCTCAGAATTCGAAAGCGTCGCCTGACGGTGGCCTTGCATACCCCCTTCCCACAGGCTGGGTGGGCAGCCCGCCGCCAGCTGGGTCAGAGGTATTCATCGGGCGGCTGCCTCAGGACGTGTACGAGCACCAGCTTATCCCGCTGTTCCAGCGCGTGGGCCGCCTCTACGAGTTCCGCCTGATGATGACCTTCAGCGGCCTGAACCGCGGCTTCGCCTATGCCCGCTATAGCTCGCGGCGCGGCGCGCAGGCCGCCATCGCCACGCTGCACAACCATCCGCTGCGGCCGTCCTGCCCGCTGCTCGTGTGCCGCAGCACCGAGAAGTGTGAGCTGAGCGTTGACGGCCTGCCGCTGAATCTGACCCGCAGCGCGCTGCTGCTCGCGCTGCAGCCGCTGGGTCCCGGCCTGCAGGAGGCGCGGCTGCTGCCCAGCCCCGGACCGGCGCCTGGGCAGATCGCTCTGCTCAAATTCAGCTCTCACCGGGCCGCTGCCATGGCCAAAAAGGCCCTGGTGGAAGGTAGGCTGTGGCCGGGGGCTGGTTGGGGCCAAACGCGTTCTGCCAGGCACTTTACACTGAGCATAGCTGTTAAAGTTACAAGATCTTAGAGTCAAACATGCCAGAATTTGCAACCCTTTACTATTTGATCTCAGAGTTTTAAAACTTCCAATGGTGCTACCACCACCACTTACCTAAATTGGTAACACTTCCCGAGCATTATCTCCTGACTTAATCCTCAACATTCCCCTACACCCACACCGCATAATAGGCACAGGACCCTCGAGCTGTGAGGAAACTGTTAGAGAAATTGATTTGCTCAAGGGAACCCAACTGAGCCTTTTACTATAGTATTTGTTTCCTCAGACGGTTGTGAGAATTAAGTAACATAATGGGTGTATGGTATTTAGCATACTGACTGACTTACAGCAACTTTTGGCAGTAAAGATTAGCCATTATGATGGTTATGAGGCAGACAAAGCCTGCATTAACCAGTACTTCTCCAAGGAAACTTGTAAGGTAGCAGTTGTGTTATACTCCCTTTGCAAATAGTGGAGCCTGAAGGCTTGTCTTTTCTTACCCATGGTCACACTACCAGGAAATGCGAAGGCTACACATTACAGGACTGTGAGCTCCAAAGGGCTCACAACCTGGAGGCTTGGGCCCAGGGTTTGGACCTGCCCTTATCTTTACCTTTTTCCTGCAGGGCAGTCACACCTCTGTGGAGAGCAGGTGGCTGTGGAGTGGCTCAAGCCAGACCTGAAGCAGCGACTCCGCCAGCAGCTTGTGGGTCCCTCCTTGCGGCCCCCGCAACCAGAGGGCAGCCAGTTGGCCTTGGCAAGGGACAAGTTAGGGTCCCAAGGGGCTCGGGCTACCCTGCAGTTGCTGTGCCAACGAATGAAGCTGGGCAGCCCTGTGTTCCTCACTAAGTGTTTGGGCATAGGACCTGCTGGCTGGCACCGCTTCTGGTATCAGGTGGTGATTCCTGGGCATCCGGTGCCTTTCAGTGGCCTCATCTGGGTTGTGCTGACCCTAGATGGCCAGGATGGGCATGAGGTGGCCAAGGATGCTGTGTCTGTTCGGCTGCTGCAGGCACTCAGTGAGTCTGGGGCCAGCCTCCTGTGGTCTGCTGGGGCTGAGGCAGGTACCATGGTTAAACAGTGACTCCATTCTCTCTCCACAGGCAGCCTGAATGGGCAGGCAGAGCCTGTGTCAGGCCCCAGCCCAGCAGGCCTGGGTGGCCACTATCTGACTCCCAAAGGTGGGGAGAGGCATGGGCCCAGGCCATCAGCCTCCCTGCTGGGACAGGGACCTACGGCACCTGGGGCAGCTTAGGTTTGGCTTAAGTTGTGGTGAGGGGCCTTGCTCTCCCCCTCCCAACCCAGGGTCCAAGCTACCCTGTGGTCTTCCATGGCCATTCCTTGTCCCACACCCACCCGATCATACCTTCCCCCCTCTGCCACAGCTTAGCATGAATCTTCTTTATTGTCCTGATTTGTCTTCTTTGTTGGTTTTTATTTGCGGGGAGGGGCAGCTGAGCCACAGGGGTCAGAAATTCTGCCCTTTGGCTCCACCACATGGCATTCTGGTTTTGGTTTCTGTGTAGTTTTGGGTCTTTCTATGCTGGTTGTATTTATATTAAACCCCTGGTTAGTATATACTTGTGTCTGTGCTATCTTGCCCTAGCTTAGAGTTTGTCTTATACTGATAGAGTGAATAGCTGCTACGGGGCAAGTACTTCCTCATATCAGCGCTTTGAATGCATCTTCTTGTGCTACACTGTAGGGTATTATAAATATATATCCAGTCCAGGCATGTTGGCTTTTGCCTGTAGTCCCAGCACTTTGGGAGGCTGAGACGGGTGGATCACCTGAGGTCAGGAGTTCGAGACCAGCCTGGCCAGCATGGAGAAACCCTGTCTCTACTAAAAATACAAAAATTAGCCTGGCGTGGTGACGGACACCTGTAATCCCAGCTACTTGGGAGGCTGAGGCAGGAGAATCACTTGAAACCCAGGAGGCGGAGGTTGCAGTGAGCCGAGATCATGCCATTGCACTCGAGCCTGGGCAACAGGAGCGAAACCCTGTCTCAAAAAAAAAAAAAAAATTCATATCCAGCCAGGCACGGTGGCTCATGCCTGTAATCCCAGCATTTTGGGAGGCCAAGGCAGGAGGATCACTTGATTCTAGGAGTTCAAGACCAGCTTGGTCAACATAGTGAAACTCCTAGTCTCTACCAAAAAAAAAAAAAAAAATCACAAAAATTAGTCGAGCATGGTGGCACATGCCAAGTCTCAGCTACCAGGCAGGCTGAGGTGGATCACTTGAGCCGGGGAGGTCAAGGATGCAGTGAGCCATGATCAACCCACTGCACTCCAGCCTGGGTGACAGAGTGAGATCCTATCTCAAAAAAATGTTTTTTGGCAGGTGTGGTGGCTCGTGCCTGTAATCCCAGCACTTTGGGAAGCAGAGGCAGGTGGATCATTTGAGTCCAGGAGTTGTAGACCAGCCTGGACAACACAGACCCCTGTTTCTACCAAAAAAATTTAAAAATTAGCCTGGTGTGGTAGTGCACACCTGCAGTCCCACCTATTCCAGAGGCTGAGGTGGAAGGACACCCTGAGCCTGGGCACATTGAGGCTGCAGTGAGCCATGATCAAGCCAGTGCACTCCAGCCTGGATGACAGCAAAACCCTGTCTTTTAAAAAAAAATATCTTCTCTGGGGATGCAGCTCAATAAGCAAGACTCTTGCCTGGTGAGGACCTGTCTTGAGATTCAATTCATTCCCTCAGTCACTGTCATCCCCAGTCTCCTCCTCTTCTTCCTGAGCCATGGAGTCTTCTCCCTCTTCCCTCAGTCCTGCGAAGAAGTCATCAGTGCTCCAAGTCTTGCTGCTCAGAGCCCGCAGTGGTCCTCCCTTTTTTTTGCGCCGACGGTAGTCATCCACCACCACAGCTCGCAGCTGGGCCATGTCCCAAAACTTGAGGCGCTGGTCATGGCCGCTACTGGCCAGGAAGCGGCCACAGTGGGAAAGGGCCAGCTCCTCCACAGGCTCCCCAGGGTGCTGGCCCACACTGCCCACCACTCGGTTCGGTAGGATGTTCACAGCCCTGGGCAGGGAAACAACAGTGTTGAGTACTGGCTAACTGGGTCTGCCCTTCCTGTGACCTAAGGGCTGTCCAGGCTTCCCTCACCTGATGACTCCATCGGTGGAGCCAGTACACAGCAGACTCTCAGTGACTGGAACCATGCAGTCGATAGATTCAGCTCTCACGGCAAAGCGGTCACTTGTGGCCCCAAAGCCATTCCAGTTGAAGAGGTAGATGGTACCTTCACTGGAGCCACAGGCCACCTTCTTCCCACACTGCAGGTAAATAGGGAAAATGATGTGGAAGCTGCCTTAGACTAAGCCCCCAGCATACACCCCTCCATCCCACCATACCCAGCTATACTTTCATAAGGGTGACAGAGGTCAGATCCCCAGACTGAGGCTCTGAGAGCAGCTCAAATCGACGCCTCTTAACATTGAAGATTCCAAGGCAGCCATCCCCACTGTAGAGAGTAGAGCAATAGGCTTAGACACAAGGTCCATGTGAGGAAGACATTTCACAGGGAGAGGAGGGGAGGCAAGGCAGATTTGAGGTTGTACCTGGCTGTCAGCAGCAGCTTCTTGGCTGGATCCAGAGCCATGTCTGCGATGTACTCTTCATGTTGCCTCATATCCATTAAGGGGCCTTCCTTCCGCTGGTCCCAGAGACGGATACCACCCGTGTCATCCCCAGTGGCCAGAACATTCTCATCCACCAGCAGAAGACTGTTGATGGGGGCACTAGAGACACAGATGTAGAACTTCTTGGAGCATCTCTGTCCCAATGGGGACCTCCTGGTCCTTACCCTTCACCTCCATGCACATACACAGAATTGGCTGTTCTCCTTACCCATGAGCCTTGGAAACACGTCTTTCTAGTTGGCCCTGCTCCACATCTAGAACATGGATGGCTTTGTCCTTGGAGACAGTAACAAGCTCTGGGGAAAAGGTGCCCAGGTCATGGTGCTGCTCACTGCTCCCTTCCACCACATTGCTGGTTGTCTTCCCCAGTACTCACTCTGCCCATCTTCAGAGAAGGCCACAGCTCGGCAGGCCTTGAGATGGTGACCCGATGACCATAGCTCCTTGGTTTCTCCCTCTTGGCAAGAGTAGGAAAAGCTGGGGAGAGGGGAAGGAGAGTAAATGACTCCAGACCCATCCTGGGTTGCACTGAGTGCAGAGACCAACTAGACAGAGCAGCCTTCCCACCTACCTAGGAGTTCCTGCTTCTACACCTCCAAGCCCAAAGTTTACCATCTCATTTCTCCATTTTCAGTGAGTTTGAAATGTTAGGTCTTGCTTTTTTCAATATATATTAATTCAAGGTATATTTGCTCAACATTTCTTTGTGATCCCACCCAACCCCTCTTTATCATCTTTGAAAGCCCCAGCCTGGACAACGATTGGGTCTGGACCACTGTGAAGGAAATATTTCTTACATCAATGACAAAAAACCAGCCCCAGAAGTTAGAAATGTAAAAATCAGTACGGTAGAGCAGGCTCTTGCACTTCAGGTCTGCAGGAGCTACAGAAAGCCACAATTACAGTACATTGAGAGTACGTGCTAAAAAAGAGGCAGGATCAAAATGGAGGTGGGGAAGAGGCACCAGCCTGTAAACAACTTTGAGGTGAGTACTGTTTACAGAATACTCCCAGTGCCTGCCTCAGAGCAGATCCTCAAAAAGGGCAGAATGAATACATGCTTAATTGCCAGTGAGTTCCAGGTGGGCAGAACTGAGCCTGCTCATTTTCTCCATCCCAGTGCCGAACATGAAAAAGTAGCTTAATAAACATTCACAGATTGAATGAATACTTGGGAAGGGAGAAGAGAGTCCTGGAAAGCTAAGGTGGTGACATATGGGTTGGATCATACAAGAGTAGAGTTTACCTGGCCGAGAGCAAGGGCCAGATACTGGAGGCAGCAGAGATAAGGAATGAGGAGGGTTCCTTGTAGCAGGAGAGTAGCATGACTGAATCGGGAAAGATGGGCTGGGGTGGGCATGAGACCACGTGAGCCAAGTAGAAGTTTGAATTTAATCCTCTGAAAAGGAACCTTTTCACAATAGTCATGGCTGAGGGTGGGGAAGGGAAGAACCAAGAATTTTCCTCCAGAACCTTTTTTAAGACAAGGGAAGCAACAAAGTTGTGTGGAATGTGAAGAAAGGTGGATGTCTAGGGCAACTCCCAAGTGCCTGGCACCATAAATATGGATAGTAGTAGAAGGGAACTGTAAAATTGCACTGTACTGCAAATTTGTCCCCTCTGCAAGAGTAGGTATAATTCCCCTTCAAAGATGAAAATACAGAAGTTAACACGCTCAAGGCCATTACAGCTAACGGAGGGGGTTGAGGTTTAAGTTCATTAAGTAAATCTGATAAGCACAGCATCTTCAAGTTTTCCACTGCCTCTAACTTGTATCTTTTGTTCAAAGTCAAACACGTGCCGGGCGCGGTGGCTCAAGCCTGTAATCCCAGCACTTTGGGAGGCCGAGGTGGGTGGATCACGAGGTCAGGAGATCGAGACCATCCTGGCTAACACGTGAAACCCCGTCTCTACTAAAAAAATACAAAAATTGCCGGGAGCGGTGGCGGGCGCCTGTAGTCCCAGCTACTCGGGAGGCTGAGGCAGGAGAATGGCGTGAACCCGGGAGGTGGAGCTTGCAGTGAGCTGAGATCCGGCCACTGCACTCCAGCCTGCGGGACAGAGCGAGATTCCGTCTCAAAAAAAAAAAAACAACAAAGTCAAACACGTATTGAGCACCTACCCTAAACTAGAGGCTGGAGATAAAATAGAGAACAAAACCGACGACAGATTACACTCCAGAACAGTGTTTTTTCACATTCTAGTCATATAACAGACTGGAAAGCTACAATCAGCATTTTGTGTACATGCACACAATAATAGAATAAAATCAGAAATTGTATCAGCATATATAATGTAAAAGGTATTTCTCTGAGAGGCAAGGTCAAAGACATTTGAAAAACATTAGTGAAGGAGACAGCATTCAAATAATTACACAAACGGATATATGGTTACCAACCATTCATTACTAAGGGAAAGGTACCATGTCACCTGGTGTCATGGCAGCATCTAATAGGTAACCAATTTTAGTCTGGGGATAGAGGAAGAGGGAAGAGATCCTGGGAACTCAGAGATAGTAGGTAAAAGTGAGGAGAAAGGAGTTTTCCGGACAGAATAGCATGTGCAAAGGGGCTGAGGTTTCGAGATTTTTTTATTTTTATTTTTCTGAGACGGAGTTCTGCTCTTGTTGCCCGCTGGAGTGCAATGGCACCATCTCGGCTCACTGCCTCGCAGGTTCAAGCGATTCTCCTGCCTCAGCCTCCCGAGAAACTGGGATTACATGCGCCCGCCACCACACCCAGCTAATTTTTCTATTTTTAGTAGAGACGGGATTTCACCATGTTGGCCAGGCTGTTCTCCAACTCCTGACCTCAGGTGATACCCCACCTGGTCTCCCAAAGTGCTGGGATTACAGGTGTGAGCCACCACGCCTGCCCCAAGATATATTTTTAAAAGGTATGGATGAATGAGCACAGATGGTCAGGGCGTTGAAAGCGGGATTGAGGAATTTGTACTAAATCCTAAAAGCAGACCATTGAAGGGTTTTAATCAAGGGAGTGTCTGCTCAGATTTATGTTGTTTTCTTTTTTGTTTTTTTGTTTTTAAATGGAGTCTCTGTCGCCAGCCTGGACTGCAGTGGCGCGATCTCAGCTCACTGCAACCTCTGCCTCCTGCGTTCAAGTGATTCTCCTGCCTCAGCCTCCCAAGTAGCTGGGACTACAGGCGTGTGCCACCACGCCCAGCTAATTTTTGTATTTTTAGTAGAGACGGGGTTTCACCATGTTGGCCAGGCTGGCCTCGATCTCTTGACCTCATGGTCAGCCCGCCTCAGCCTCCCAAAGTGCTGGGATTACAGGCGTGAGCCACCGCACCTGGCCTATGTTGTTTTCTTTTTGAGTCTCACTCTGTCGTCCAAGCTGGAGTGCAGTGGTGCGATCTTGGCTCACTGCAACCTTCACTGCCCGAGTTCTCCTGCCTCAGCCTCCCGCGTAGCTGGGATTACAGGCCCGCGCCACCACACCCGGCTAATTTTTGTATTTTTAGTAGAGACGGGGTTTCACCATGTTGGACAGGCTGGTCTCGAGCTCCAGCCTCTCAGGTGACCCGCCCACTTCGGCCTCCTAAAGTGCTGGGATTACAGGCGTGAGCCAAGATTTGTGGTTTGAAAAATCAATTAAAGGAGTCTGCTGAGCCTATTTCGGGCACAATATAATAATCCGGTAGGAGGCCGGGCGCAGTGGTTTACGCCTGTAATCCCAGCACTCTGGGTGGCCGAGGCAGGTGGATCACGAGGTCAGAAGTTCAAGACCAGTCTGGCCAAGATGGTTAAACCCCGTCTCTACTACAAATACAAAAAAAATTAGCCGGGCATGGTGGCGGGCGCCTGTAATCCCAGCTACTCAGGAGGCTGAGGCAGAGATTTGCTTCAATCTGGGTTGCAGTGAGCCCAGATCGCGCCACTGCACTTCAGCCTGGGCGACAGAGCGAGACTCCGTCTCGAAAATAAATAGGTAAGTAAATAAATAATAATTCGCTGGGAAATAACAAGGCCTTAAAGGGCTTTTTGTCCTACTACGGTCTCTGGGCTCTGTCACGACATTCCAGTTCTTTCAACAGATTGGTGTGATATAAGAGCTGAATGTTACTGAATGAATCGGACCCAATCAATCACGCAAAATTTGTCTCCCTGCAACTTTCTCTCCTCTCTCCTGTTCCCAGCTCCATCCCCGGGGAGCTTCCAGACCCAGCGCCCCCGGCCCTGCCTCGCACTCACACGAACACGTCCCCGTCCACGTCCCCTGCAGCCAGTAGGTCACGGGCCGGATGGAACGCCAGCCCACTGGCCGGAGCTTCCAGCACGATGTCTTCCGGAGTGTCCCGGATCCGGGTAGGGGCTTCTGTGGAGTCTGGGTCGTCCTCGTCGCTCCCATCCTCAGCGGGCCTCTCCTCACAAGTGTGGTCCATGCTGACTACTGCGAGCCACGCCGCCGCAGGGCAGTCAGCCTCGGAACCACCCTCAGAACCAGTCCCAGGCACCGGAGGAGCAGCCTGGGACTCTGCTTCCGCCTCAGGAGGCGGGGCCGGAAGTGTCGCCGGGACGTTCTCCCTCTTACAGGAGAGGTCGGTTGGCCGGTGCTGGTGTGGGTGGAGCGCAGCGAAGGAACCGCGCTTGAGAGATCTGCTACTTCCTTGTCCGGCTGTGGCCCAGTTTGGCCTAGGTAAACTGTGCGACCGTCAATTCCCTCCCTAGTCACGACACGTAAAGTTGGGAACTGCGTTTAAGTTTTTACTCTCCTACTTCAGACAGGCTTAATGCCCTTGGGATAGGAGAGAGGGACGCTAGTCCTTCGTGGCTTGGTGAAACTCAAGATCAAGTCAAGCGACAGCCAGGGCTGTCAGGAAGCCGCAAAATCCCACGCTGCGCGATGACATACAGGAGTCTCCGACAGCAGGCAGCTCAAGCAGCTGCTATCCACGCCCCTAACATCTTTGTGGCCAGTTTGCTGTGCCAGTTCCTACAATTTGTCTACAGAAACTCAATGAGCTGGACAAGCAGTGCTCAGTTCCCAAGAATTTTTTGTTTTGTTTTGCTTTGTTTTAAGACAGGGTCTTGCTCTGTCGCGCAGGCTGGAGTGCAGTGGCACGATCACCTCTGGGCTCAAGCGATCCTCTGGAGTAGCTGAAACTACAGGCATGTGGTACCACGCTTTTTTTTTTTTTTTTTTTTTTTTTTTTTTGAGACAGAGTCTCGCCCTGGCTGGAGTGCAAATGACTCGATCTCGGCTCAGTGCAACCTCCTTCTCCCAGGTTCAAGCGATTTTCCTGCCTCAGCCTACCGAGTAGATGGGACTACAGGTGCATGCCACCACGCCCAGCTAATTTTTTGTATCTTTAGTAGAGATAGGGTTTCACCATGTTGGCCAGGGTGGTCTCAAACTCCTAACCTTGTGATTCGCCCGCCTCGGCCTCCCAAAGTGCTGGGACTACAGGTGTGAGCCACCGCGCCTGGCCAATTTTTGTATGTTTTATAGAAACTTAACTCTCACTGTGTTGCCCAGCCTGGCCTTGAAGTCTTGACCTGTCTTCCCGCCTCAGCCTCCCAAAGTGCTAGGATTATAGGCGTGAGCCACTGCGCCCAGCCTCTTCTTTTTTTAAATCAAGGTTTTGCTGTCACCCAGGCTGGGAATGCAGTGGTGTGATCATAGCTCACCACAGCCTTGAACTCTTCGGTTCGATCCTCCTGCATAGCTATAGGCTCACGAACTCCTGGCCTCAAGCGACTCTCCTGCTTTGGCCTCCCAAAGCACTGAGACTGTGGACATGAGTCATCGAGCCTGGCCTCAGAAACTGAATTTTAAACCAACAGTCAACCCCCAGGTCTTGCTTTTAGTGACTCTCCAGATGTCGTCTTCTGTGCCATGTCTCTGTGACCATTTTTAATAATTGGGACTGCTGCCTACATCCATGGAACCATGGTGTCATTTGTCTGAAATTAGCCATTCTAGGTGCTAGTGCAGCAAGGCCCAATTTCAGCCTCTTATGTGCAATGCACAATGCTGGCTTCCTCAAAAATACCTGTCCTACCAAGGTGAATACAGTCAAAGACAAGGCAATGGCTAAGGTGACTTTCTAGCTTTCTTGGATGTGGTGAGGCCACAAATCTTGGGCTCAGGGTAGACAGTGGCAGCCTGGCATCCAGCCAGGAAGCAGTAGTGACACCTAATGATGCGCACCAGACCAAAGTGCTGGTAAGGAGCAGAAAGGAAGAACAGGGAAAGGAATGGTGTGATTCAAAGGCCAACAGACTATTCTGGGGCTTGGCAAATGTTTCAGGGTGATGAAGGGCACCAAACCCTTCTGGCCTAGGATAGGAATTCCTGTACCTGCAGGGCCACACTATATCAGCTCTAAACCCGAAGCACTTCCCTAAGGTTACACCTTTAGCCAAGGAGGCAGTGATTTGTACTCAACATTAATAAAGCTCATAGGAAGACATAAACTCATAAAAGGTTTTGGTTCTCACCCGTAAGTGATTTTCATTAGATGCCTTCATCCAGAGCCCAGTCCTTCACAGCCTGGGGATCAGATTAGCAGCCCATTAGGCTGACTGCAGGATCCAGGAAATCTTTGTCCAGGGACTAGGCCTGAAGATGGGCCTGAATGAGTCTTACATTTGAAACCAATCATCCTTACATTCCTCTATCCACCTCTTGCCCATCAGTGAGGATCATTATTCCCTTCTCTACTGGGCACACTGGCTAGAAAGCATCCTTCATGTCTAGCAATCTAGAACCACAGCTCAGGAAAGGACTGATGGCTTTCTGCATGTGATTCTATGTAACCAGTGGAATTAGTGTTCTTGGTGCTTCAAGGGCACTGGAGGGGGCATGCTCAACAGAGAAGCTAGCAAGTTAACCAATTTTAATGGAACCAAGTAATTACACAATAAAATTTTATATTCATCCACCAAAAAACATCTTGCAACCTTTGGAAATTGTATAAAGAAAACAGTGGGAAGCATATCCTTGTGGAGGGTCTCCGGTTGTAACTGGTGATTAGTATTTTGGTCTTTTGACTTCAACCCTGCAATGGAAGGAGAAATGGGTCAGCATAAGATCAATACACTAAGCAATTCCCACCAGTCCCCCAGAGGAAGAATAATGCCACTCACCCATCAGCTTCCATCTTCTTCCTCTTCTCAATGATCTGCAAAAGGAACAGGATAGTCTATCACCAAGCTGCCCATCTAAGCTCACCTGAGGCCCAAGGCTGACCTCTCATTTCCATGGCTCTCCAGCCCCTTGCCTGTTCCTGAATCTGTAGGCTAATGTCTTCTCCCAGCTGAAACCCTCCCACCCAAGGGACCATCCTACTTACTGCACTAATCTTCTTCCACTGGCGATCAAGCTCTGCTTTGTCATTGGTTTCCTTGAAGCGCCTGGTTTTCCGCCCTTCAGACATTTTGATACCATACTGGAATGCAGCCCTGAAAAAAAGCACAATTGGCAAAGAATGCTTCAGAGACTGCATAGCAGTGGCGAGGTTTTCCCAGGGTCCTGTGGGCAAAGAACTTAATTGGGAATATCTCAGCCAGACCATACCCTCTAACCTTATGTGCACTATTCCACCAAATCCCCACACCCCTCCTCACACCTTGCCCATATTCAGTACCGACTCACTTGGGCAAAGCCTCTTTGTTGTTCATATACTCGCTGTATTCTTCCTGGGTATCAAAGTCCCAACGGCCTAAGGGCCCCTTCTTGTTACCCTGTTGCAGGACAGAATGGGGGGACGGGGAAGGAAGAGATGTCAGGGAAAATGGAATTTCAGCCCTTGATTGAAGCCAGACTCTCCCATAATCCCAGGTTCCACAATTCATAAATCATACCCTGATATGTAATAATAAATGCCTATTACATACTATGTGACAGGCATTATTCTGTACACTAAATGCATTATCTCATTTAATTCTCATTAAAAAATCTATGAAGAGGGAACTACACTTCTCTCCATTTCCTGATGAGGAAATTGAGGCATAAACAGTAAAAGAACTTGGCAAGTTCACAAAACTAATAAATGGTAGAGGCAGGATTAAACAAGGCTCCAAGATTAAACTATGCTATTTCAATACAAAGAACTCAGGGGACGAATAGAGATTTCTTCACTATTAGTGGCATTAGTGGTTTTTTCTTTTTAATTTTGCTTAAGACTTAGAGGAAAACTTCAATCCCGGCTAGAATAAAATTTAGTTATTTTCCAAAGACTGCAATTTTTTCTGCCCTTTCTACTTATGCATTGATGCTTGCTTACTGCCTACCATGGGAATCAAAGCGTGGCACTTTGCTATAGGAAATAAAAAATAGATTTTTGACCCTATGTCATTTGATCTTGTGCAAAGACTCTGAAATAGTTAAGCTGCTCATGACCCTCAATGCTGCTGTTTCTACTGCTGCAACTGGAGGAGGGTGGAGCCCAGTAAATGAGACAGATTTTTTAGGAGTGGGGAAGGAGATATATGTAAAAAAATATAATAATAATAACTACCCAGGCCGGGCGCGGTGGCTCAAGCCTGTAATCCCAGCACTTTGGGAGGCCGAGATGGGCAGATCACGAGGTCAGGAGATCGAGACCATCCTGGCTAACACGGTGAAACCCCGTCTCTACTAAGAAATACAAAAAATAGCCGGGCGAGGTGGCAGCGCCTGTAGTCCCAGCTACTCGGGAGGCTGAGGCCGGAGAATGGCGTGAACCCAGGAGGCGGAGCTTGCAGTGAGCTGAGATCCGGCCACTGCAATCCAGCCTGGGCTACAGAGCGAGACTCCGTCTCAAAAAAAAATAATAATAAAAAAAAAAATAATAATAATAATAACAACAACTACCCAAAGGCGCCCACCATCCTTCTAACTACATACCTGGTCCATTTTGCTATAATCCACCTCCTCATCACTGTCCACAGCCATGTCATCCATCCTAAGGAGAAGCAGGAGTTAAACAGTTAAACACCCTGACCCTATGCTTCATCTGGAAACCTACCCGACTAAGAGGCTATCTGCATAGGAATGACCACCCCCTTGACCTCCCACTCAAAGCCTAATAAAATAGTTCATCCAAGTAAGAAGTAGCCTTGGGCCAGGTGCAGTGGCTCACTCCTGTAATCCCCACACTTTCAGAGGCTGAGGCAGGCAGATTACTTGAGGTCAGGAGTTCAAGACCAGCCTGGCCAACATGGTGAAACTGCATCTCTACTAAAAATACAAAAACTAGCCAGGTGTGGTGATGCATGCCTATAATCCCAGCTACTTGGGAGGATGCAGCAGGAGAACTGCTTGAACCCGGGAGGTGGTGGTTGCAGTGAGCCGAGATTACGCCATTGCATTCCAGCCTGGGCAACAGAGTGAGACTCTGTCTCAAAAAAAAAGAAAAAAAAAAAAAAGTAGCCCTGGAACTTAGCAAATCAAATTTCCATTTCACCCCCAACTTGTTCCCCAATCATCCAGCCTCCTTCCTTAACCAGGTTTCACATACGTGGCTGGGTAGCACTCTGCATAACTGTTGGACATGCCAAAGAAATCTCCCAGCTGCTTTTTG